AAGTCAGACTGACTGATAACAGTCACAGCTACTATAAAAGATTTTCTTCCTCAGTGAAACAATTTCAAGAAGGCTTGAGATAAACTTCTTGAACTACTTTATCAGTGTGTGACAACTCAGCCTATTATGAAAGAGTAAAACTGCATCTCAGTGAAGCATGGAGGTGAAGTGTGTATGTGCATCTGAGTGTGATGTGCAGAGAAAGCACCAGAAGAAGACCTGAGGGCTGGAATAGGCTCTGCTCAACGAGCAAATAAAAGGAACCATGTTTCTTCTTGGCAAAAATCAAAGCTGGAAAGCAGAGACAATCCTTGGAAATAACAAGTCATGATGAAAGGGACTAAAGGGTGATATCTCAGTTTAGGGGGTGGTTATATGATGGTACTTTATTCCCTAATCATCATCTGCTTTATGCCCAGAAATGTCTGTGGTATCTTAAAGATGACCCAGGGGCTGGGGCCAGGGCCTGGGAGCCCCAGACAAGGGCTCGGTTTTGATTGTTACTTCATTGCCTTCTGCTGGATTAATTCTTGCCAATTTAGGCAAGAAGCTTTTGGGTTTGGGGTTTTTTTTTTGGTTGTTTTTTTTTTTGGTTGTTTGGTTGTTGTTTTGGTTTTTTGTTGGTTTTTTTTTGTTGTTTTTTTCTTTTTCTTCCCCTGGCCTGGAGGCTTTTCAACGGCAAATCCTTCCAGCAGCTTTTTGGGTTTTTTTTCTCTCTGGTCTGGGATGGCCTTGGTCAGTCCAAACCCTGGGAAAGACTGAGCCAGTGAAAGAAGGGTCATCAAATCCACAAGTTTTGTCTATGAGGAGGAAAACCAATGCCAGAGGACCAACAGGGTTCCCATCTCTCTGCTCCAGGCTGCTGTGTGAACTCCTCTTCCCCTTCCCTGAGACAAAGGGACAAGTCACCATTTAGTTTTCTGGACCACGAGGTCAGCCTATGTATTTTTCTTCCCCAGGTATTTTCGAGGGTGTTTTGTTTTTTTTTTTTTGTTCTGCTGTGGGTGTATGTGGGTGGAGGGTAAGTTTCTGGGAGTTTACATCTAGCATTTATTTAATCCTTTTCTGTGCTTTTCGTCCCTACCCTTTATCTTTTGTTAATAAACAGTTCAATTTTTTTCACTTTCACCTGCTGCTATCAATTTCTCTCATTGGAAGAAGAAAAGGGAGCTATTGAAGCCCTTTCCCTTTTAGAAGAAATCCTCATTCCAGGGTATTTTCTCCTAAAATTTGTCTCCAAAACCAAGACAGATGGCTATTCACTATTTTTAGCAATTTTAGAACCAGAGAAATGATGGGCACTTAACTAGGTGTTAGTTTTGAAGTCACAGGAAGAATGTTTTGCTCAATGCTCAGTCCAACTTCAGAGCTCCTTCCCAAACTGTGTTGGTACTAAATGGTTGCATGGCTTCAAAATCATTTAGAAAAACTAATGAAAAAAGAACAGCTCTCAACAAGATACTACTGCTGGTTCAGGAGACTTTGAGAATGTTGTGTAAAGGGTTCTGTAATGTTTCTATGGGTCTAATGTTTTTCCCTAGTGCCTAATCCAGGTTTGTGTCAGGAACAGGATGCTGGCCTGCTCTGGACCTGTGGTTTAATGTCATACAACTGTCCTGGGGAGTAAATTTCAAGCTATAAGATTTGTATTTGTGAACTTTTAACTCATTTACAAGAAAATGAAGACTGCTGAAGAGAAATGCATTGTATTTTCTCTGTATGTGTCCTCTGCCAAATACAAACTGATTCACATTCAACAGAGTTTAGATACAGCTTCATCTCCCTGTATTACACAATCTCCTGAGTTCCAGACTTTCATTATTTCCCTTCAAGAAATCAGGAAAGTAGAACTTCTCCACAGAGTTTCTTAACTATAATTTTAAAAAGTATGGAAATCATGACTGGCTTTGCTATGGGCAGCCTGAGTTCCACAGGCTGAAAGCAGCAGCAAGCACCCAATGATGGCAAATCTGCTCCACAGGAGGGATAATTGTTTCTCCACCAGCGTTAATAGAAGCAAGGTAAAGAAAGGTAATTCCCTTGAGAAGATGAATTGTGGTGTTTTTCAAGAAAGCAGAGAGCTCATTTTCACCACTTTGGGGTAAGACTCCAAAGAAGCAAGCACATGTCCTATACCCAAGACAGACTGGGAAGGCAGACAGCAATGTGGGAAGGAATGTAATGTAAAATGCAGCCGTTAATCAGAGAAAGGAGAATGCTTACGGGAAAATCTAGAAATGTGTGGATTACAGTGAATTAATAACGGTTGTTTGACAAAGACTAAAATAATGAGAGGAATATTCCACCTGTTCAGATGGAGCTATGGGGCTGTGAAATGACAGATCAAATTAAGGCTCAGGCAAGAAGGCTGTGGTGAGAGACTGATTGCTGAGACATTAACCAGACTGGAGATGGTGACCTGGGAAAAATTACTGTGAGGGTGAGTCACTGGAGGGATCCTTGGTTCAGCTGGAGGGTCTGAGGCTGGGCAGCCCTGAGTGCACTGCTTCTTCTGTGATCTTGGAAAAGATCATTTGGGATTGATGTTTCCATGAAAATCAGTTTGGAAGGACTGTTTCAAAAGTTTTCATCCAGGAAACTAGGCAGCAATTAGAAACAAAATTAATTTCAGAGTTATTTTTTCAACAAAACCCTTAAAAATGTTCCTTTGAGCATTTCTGTATAGATCAAAATGTTTCTGACAAGCTTTAGCCAGCCTGTCTCCCTTAGGTGGGGACACAAGAGCGTGGATGTTAGTGTGGAGCTATGGGGCAGGAGCATCCAGCCTTGTTTCCATCACCTCTGCCTTCCAGACCTAAGCTTGTGGCTGTGCTGTGCCTGTGGCCAGTCCAGGCTTTGTCTAGGTGAGAGCTGACCACGCTGCTGAGGGAACCCCCTATGATTGATAGCAGACCCTGCCCCGAGCTGCCAGAGAGTCAGTTTGTTGTCATCAAATGAGACCTGTCTGCTTGTGCTGGGATGATCTGGGATGATACTCCAGCCATTAAGATGTTGTGAAACTGTACACTCAACTTTGGGATGGAGACTTTGATTAAATCTGGGATTTACAAAATAAAAGGAAAGGGAGTTAAGGGGGATAAGGTAAAAGCAAGAAGAGATGTCAGAAAAATGGGAACTAGCAGAGTTGGACTTTCCAGCTCTTATCTTGGAGTTTCAGCAGGGCTAACTTCTATAAAAGAACTAAAAGGCACAGACAGGCATTGGTGGAGAAGCACTTCCATCTGCTTTAAAAGCCATGCTCCTCTGGAGCTCTGAAATGCTACCAGATATATGCTGGGATCTGCACTTTCAGCAGCCACAGCACATTCTGAGGATGTGGGCTGGCCAGTGGCATTGTCTCACTGTGAGACAATGTGAGTGAGGTTTAACAGAGGCTCCTTCTGCACCCCAAACCCTTTCAGAACTGGTTAGTGCTATATTTTATCTACTAGATGTATTTTTCCAACTTCAAAGCTTATATTTTTATGAAATATGAATGTATGTTCATTTGCTCCTTCATTTCACCTTCCTGAGGGCCACTGATGGTGCTTAAAACATGTCTCCTCTCTTTCTGTATGTGTGTATGATGGATTTTTGCCAGTGTGGATGAAGAGGCAAAACCGCAACCTCCTTCTCTGTTATTTCCATAACCGTCTGAACTGCACACATCCAGAGCCCAAATCCCTGCCTGGTGCAAGAGTGTGCAAATGGCTGCAGGAGCAGGGGTTGCTCTGCTCTAGCTGAATCCTGGTGCTGCCTCTCAGTATTTCTGTTGTCCTGGCATTAGGATTATTTTTTTCTTTGTTTAGTTTTAGTTTTATAAAGAATCTACAAACCATTTTCTTCTTTTGGGTCTAGACACTGTCTTCAGTGTGAAGAATTGAGAAATTTCTACATTTAAACTCTGTTGCAGCAACATGGTCATATTGATTCCAGTTACCAACAGCAGCATTAAGCCTAATAGCTTGAGTTCGGACTTTGGAGCTGGTTGTAACAACAGTCACCTTTTCATCCTGGAAGTGAGGAATGGCTTAGGCATACTAGGCAGGAAAATAAAACCTGTCACTGGAAGACAGATGAGGGCAGTATTTCCCTGTAATGTCAGGATATGTGTGTTCCTCTCTGAACAGGTTTTTGTCTTATGTGGGCTGTTAGTGTCTAAGCTCCTTCCAGAGAAGCCTTGCCAAATGTTCTGCTTCTTCATATGAAATTTGGGATCCATGTTGCTGGTGAGACATGCAGAAGGTATTGGAAAAGGAGAGATTGTCTTCACAACTCTGAGAACTTGTTTATGTCAAGGAGGTTTGTTCCTCTTATCTGATATTTTCTTTAGCATTGTTTTTTGTTTGTTTGTGTTTTGGGATTTTTTTTGGGGGGTAGGGTGTTTTTTTAAAATAATTGTCTACAGTGAATGGTGTATTTCCTGTTTTCCTGCTTTTAGAAGGTGGAATAGCTACAATAGAAAACAGGGAACTGTGTTAAAGAAATGACAGTGCCACAGTGGACAAAGGTCCTGCTTTTTGTGTGTTGATGCTGTTGCCTCTGTCTCTGTGGTTATCTTGTATCATGACCAGGCTGAGGATGATATTTAACAGTTGGGATGGGGAGGGAACTGTCAGGAGTGATACTATTGGTCCTGAAAGGCTTTTCCCAGAGATCTACCTCTGGTCCTTTGTACACATCACCATCATAGACAGCGTCCTCTTTTGTTCTTGGGATGTTTAGAGTTTGTTCCTCTGAGCCAGGTGGTAGCCGCAGCATTCCCACAGCCAAGATGATACAAGGTAAGACCAAGCCAGGCATAGTTAAAACTTCTCCCTCCTCTCACTGCAGTGCTGCAATGGATGAGTTCATATTTTACCTCTTGAGCTTTCAGCTGACACTTGGATCCCCTGGTCCTGTTCTGCGAGTGGCAGCACTGAGCCAGCAGCTCACACTGCTCGTCCGAGTGCGAAGATTCATTAGCCTGCATTTATCAGCTCTTGCCAGGGAAATGGTGAATAATGAAGCCTGGTTCAGGTAATGAAATGATCTCCTTCTCACATCTGATTACATTGCTGCTTATTATTTCCTCGGTGTGTAATTTTGCTTCTCTGCAAGCTTGTTTTGTAAACACTCATGACTGTGCAGTTGTGGCCCAAAGTTAAACCAGCGCTGCAGGAGTCTGGAGAGTTCTGTGGCCTGGCTCTTGGCTTTACTGCCTGTACTTCATCAGCAATGGGAGGGTGGGGACAGCTCTTGCCTTAGTGCTGGAAGGTACAAGGAGCCCCACCTGAAAAGGTGCAGCCCTTGGCGTCCACCAGGAGCAGCTTATTCCTTTTGTTCAGGTATCAATGTTGTGATTCAGCCTGACTGCTCTTCCTCTTTGGAGTTTCTCAGAGAGACATCTGCCATGGTGCCTCTCCATTTATAATCTGTAAGCCAAAAAAAGACATGTTCCTCTCATTTCTTCCTTTATTGCTTTTCTTCTTGAATAACTCTCTTAAACAAGCAGAGTATTGCAGGCTATTCCAGATGTTTTATTTGAGAATGCTAAAACTGTTTTCTCTCTACTGGAATGACTTTTCTTGTACATTTTAAAATTGCATCTGCATTTTCCACGGCAGCATCCATTTGGCAGTTTGGTGTCATCCCAAGTTTACCAAATGCAGTCAGAAATCTTCATCCTTAGACCTGAAGACTTAACTTTGCACCATGTGCTCTTTGTCCCATTTATACAACATAAGGGGATCTTCCACTTTTCCTAGGCAGTCTTCTCTCTGACTTCTCTGTGAGCTGGGTGACACCACCCTCACTTTAGCTACTTTCTTCTCCAAATTGTCTTTGTTTGTGGAACCCCCCATTCTCCAAGGATGGCATTTGTACCTGTGAGAGATTTTTTTTAAAGGTTAAACAAATGAGAGGTGGCTATCTAATGTGGTTAGCACACTGGAAACATCCCATATCTATAAAAAACTCTACTCTTAAGTAAATTCCTCCTTCAGTAACACAGCTTTTTGCCACGGGTTGTGTATGTGTTTCCATGACGTGCATAGTCCAAAAAATGCAGGACAGTTTTGAGTTACTGTTGAGGAAGTGAAGTCCTGTTTATGTAGGATGAAATTTATTTTTAAGCAGCTCCTGGCCCTCCTGCAGTCATCATTCATCTCCTAAGATGAGTGTCTCATTTCCCTCCTCATTATTGCTTTGCCAGACTATGCAGGAGCAGCAAGAGCTGCCCGGGACTCCCTCATGCCAGGCACTGCACAAGCAAGGAGCAGAGGAGTCCCCAGCACAAGTGAAGTCACCCCTGAGCGTGCAGGCAGACACAGCCAGTGGTTTAACAAGGCAACAAGACAACACTCCTTCATCAAAGCCCCCAGCCTGCTATGCAGAGTTTTATGGGACAGATTTTCACTCTCCTGCCCTCTCCATGCTCACTTGGGTGGCCGTGCATCTCTTAGGAGATGTGTTTCTCTGTGGTCCCTTTGGACACCTAAAAGTTGCTGGAAGCAAACCTTATCCTATCTGTAGGTTGTGTTTCACCCAGGAGCATTTTATGGCCTCTTTAGGAGGATTGTCAAGAAACAATTTGTATATTTGAGGAGGCACTTGGCTCTGTTTATGGTCGCTGTGTTGTTCATTACTGGTGCAAATTATGCCCAGGGCAGTGCTTCCCACTGCGTTACCTAAGATACATGTATTGATTACATACCTTTCAGTCAGTCACTGAAAGGGAAATTAAACCCCACAATGGAGGGGGTCCTAGTGATATCAGCCAGTTTATTGGCCTGACTGATGGTATATGTCTTCTCTGCAGGAGCTGAAAAAAATTCAAGTCATCCTTGTAATAAAACAAGTGCAGGGGAAAGAAATTTCCACACAGAACGGTTCAATCCTTTTAAATTAGAGAGTTTTTTTTCCCCCAAACTATTGACTAATGGACTGAAATTTTTGTAAATGCATCTGTTTTTGAAGACAATGCTACTTTTCTTAGGAAAGAAAATCATTAAGTGACAAGGGAACAGCAAGTTTGTCCTTGTCAATGTGTTTCTCTGGCTCAGCTGGGGAAACAGGTGTGGAAAACATTTAAATTAAATGGTTCTCCAAACTCTTGAGTCAAAATGTAAACTGTCAAGATTCTGATGGTTTTGTTTTCTTTGGGGTTTCACACATTTTTGCTCTACAGTCCAATTGCGCACGTTCCAGAAATCAGTGACCTGGTGCAAAGCTCATTAGTGCATTATTTTCCCTAGTAATAAAAGCTGTGATTGCATCACAACACCTCAGATATTTTGGATGATTTTCCATGGGTCCTGTGATCTTTGCTGCTCACATTTGGCTGCTCCCCCATGAGGAAGCTGCACTTGGGGCTACCCCACCTTCCAGCCCATGCATAGGCAGATGCTGCCCGTGCCAAGTTGCCCTGTGCTGCACCAACACCTTTGTATAATCATCCCAGATCCTGGGAAAAGTCAAACTCGAGCCTTGCCAGAGCAATGACTAACTTTTGTTTTGCTGCCATGAGCTTTGTCTTTCTGATGTGAGCTGTTATAAACCCTGCACTTTGTACCCAAGACACTTCAGACCTATTCCAGGTTCCTTTACAGTGTTTGCTTGCAGAGATTAGTGACTCCAGCTGCAGTTCACAAGCTCCACTGAATTTGGCTCCTGTTAAAACAATTCTTGACTGCATTCCTATGTTCAACAAATATTCTATTGCATCTTCTCTAAAAACACAGAACTGATGGAATGAAACACAGCAAGTGTGGCTTGTGGGTCCTCTTGTCTTACCTTTCCCTCTTAAGAGACTGATGTCAAAAGGCTCATATGGTGTGAATTAGGCAAGATTTACCAGAGACAGTGGAGTTTGGGCTTGGTTTTGTTTGTTTGTTTATTTAAATACTATGGTTTAGTATCTTATTTATGGTTTCTAGGCGAGATTTTTCAAATTATAGTGGTACTATAAAATTTGAGGAGGAATAGGGACAACATTGGCAGAAAATGCAAGATCTCTCAGTAACTGGAAAGAGGAAATTTTTTTTAAAGCAAAGCTGAAGTTTAACAGACAAAAACGGTAGGGACTCCTTCATTGCTTTGTTTCATTGACAACACTCAAGATTATAAAAAATGTGAATCCAAGTGTCTGAATTGATTAAAGCCTCATGCTGGTGCTTGTGTAAAGAACTCTTTACAAATCCTCAAATTTGGTTTTGTTATAAGATTCTGTAACTATTCCTTTGATTCGATCTGGCCATAGTGAGGAACAGTTATGGAGTTTTTAGTTCTTGGGATTTGCATTTGAGTTTCCTTAGGGTAGACTAATCCCTGATATGGGGGAGGTGACTCATCTGGAGACAACTGAAGCCCTGAGAGTGCTGATGCCTGGGGACCTGAAGAGGAGGGACAGCTCTTGGGCTGGGAGTCTGCAGGTGAATGAGACATTTCAAAGCAATTCGTTGCTCTTGCTGTGTTAAATTGTGCTGCTGGAGAGCAGCCAGTTGCGTGGAAAAATATTTCCTGACTCACTTAGACTTTCGTAAGCCACAAGCCCATCCATAATTACTTTATATCTTGTCTAGGAACCAAGACAGGGCTCTGCTGCATATTTAATTAGATGGGGGAAGGCAAAGAATTTTAAGATAATCTTATCTTCTGTTCCCCATCACAGCTCTCAGGTAAGAAGTCTTCATGGCATGCAAACCAGTCTGATGGTAAGCCACTTGTTTTTGAGGACACTGAAAACAGCTTTGCAGAGTAATACTTTTTTTTTTTTAATACTCAAATGAATTCTTTTCTGTGTATGAGTAAAAAGATTAGTTATGTGCTATTATGAAAATTACCAAGGAGATGTAAAGAGATGTGTGGGAACCTGGTGCTCTTGGAGGAATAAACACTTTCATTCCTATGGCTGTTGAAAGCAACTGAAGGAGGATAAGTGAAGAGAACCCAAGTCCAAGTTTCTCATTGGTGCAATAATTCTAACAATAATCAGAATTAAGGCACTGGGAATAACAGCATGAAGTCAGCCAGAGAAATGGAGTTTTACAAACACCAATTGAGTTTTTACTGTGGCCTCTCAGTTCCAGTTCTGCAAAGGTTTTTGAGTATGTGTATGGACTGGCTTGCTAGTCCTTGCTGTGGAGGCAGCTGAAGTAGCAGGGTTTGAGGTGGCAGAAGGGGTGTGAAAAGGATGCAGAACCAGGATGGAGTCCTGTGAGGTTTTCTGTTTAATTTAAATCTTCAGTGTTGGCACCGGTGTGCAGCAAGTGTTGCAGCTACATATCACTCTCACACAGAAACCAGAAATGTCATGAGTCTGCACCACCACAGCTGCAGACCATCCTCTGCCCTGTCTGAACTAGTCTGATCCTTCGTGACTCAAAACGCTTCAGATCTGTGCCCTCCCCTCAGAGGTGCAGAGGAAGCCTGGGCAATGTCTGTAGAGCTAGTCAGTGTTTTCTGTGTTGTCCAGGGCTTGCTCAGGAGTTGGGGTCCTGCTCTCCTCCTGGCAGAAGGATGTGGAAGGCAGAGGAAATGGTGCTTTAGACCCAGTTTTGTTTATTCTGTATCTCTGAGCAAGTTCTTTCTCCCATTCAATAAACTCCCTACCCGTGATCTTCTTGGTTATGAAATACTGGCTGCACTTTGGTAATGAGTCACTGATGAGTTTCAAGTGATGGTTTGGTGTGGGGAGTGACTGGATGAGCCTCCTGTGGATGTGCTGTAACCTGGGCAGAGAGGATGTGTATGCACTGAGACAGGCAAAAATATCTCTAAGGAGGTCAAAGTTCATGAGGCTGGTCACAAGTCTACCTTGGTCCAAGAGCATCCTACATCTCTCTGCTGTTCAGAAGAGGATCCAAGTTGCTCTGGGCCAGAGAGAGATCCATAGTGCTGAAGGGAAAGCTGGAATTCCTAACACAGAGGTGTCCATAGCTTTAATGCACTGCAGTAAAACTCAGCCCATCATTAAACATTCATGGTGCCAGACAAACAAGTAAAATTCAGGAACAAGTAAATGCCTTTGTGGTTTTGTGAGGACTTCTGTGTCTTTGCACTTCCAAATGCTGCATAATAAATCCTGAAGTGCCTTTTTGCTCACAGCAGACATGATTAATACAGCTGTTAGCTGGTGTGTCTGCTAGAGGAAACAATTGGCAACCCCTAGGTGGATAAGCAGCAGAGGGCTGCAACCCCCACAATTTTCTCCCCTTTTGAGAAATTAAGACATAATATTAAAATATTCTTCTTTTCCTCTTCAAATCCATAATCAGACGTGACATAAAGAACAGTCTTCTTCTGCAATGAGTATTTGGAAGAATGCCTGTTAAAGTGAAGATGCTCTAATGCTCTGCACAGCTGGAGCCCCTGTGGGGTCAGGCAGGTCCAAGTGTGACAACAAGCACCAAGGGAGCACATCCCATCCACTGCCCACAGCCCCTCCTGCCCTCCTGGCTTGGGGACCAAGGGATGTCCAGATGTACAATGCCTTTTTTTCACTTAGCAGCCCTTCTACAAGGTGAGAAGGGAGCTTGTGGGAATGCTCAGGCATGCTGGTCATAAAATTCAGACTATAAATGCATCTTTCCTCATACCCATTTTCTCACAGGGAAATCCTGAGCAGGACACAAATATCCTCTCTGACTTTACCAGCTTTCCCTTCTGCTTTTTTCAACATAATCACATTCACTGATTTCTGCTTGTTTGCAGGTCTTGTTTGCAGCTGGAAGCTCAAAACACTATTTATTTTCTGTATGGGTTCCTAATCTGGAAATGGATCTAATTTGCTTTACCAAATTACAAGTGCATTAAGATGAACACATTGTGCTATGTCCGGATACATCGTGGTGCTTTCATGAAAGAGGAAAAACCATGTTTGTCACTGCAGTGATTTTCTTCTTTCCTCAGTGTCATTAACTCCATGTTCCCAAAAAATAGAAAATGTCTCTATAAATGACAGAGTTTTTTCCTTGGGGCAGAAGTTGTAGAGCCAGAGCTGCATCTGTTTCACATCTTTCATCCTTTCAGCCCCTTAAGAATATCCCTGCTAACACCTGCAGTACTCTTCCCTTGCAGTCCCTCCCGTTGCTCTTAGACACATTTTGATTATCTGCAATATTTCATTATCTGCATTCGATAGTATTACTAAATAGTTCTGAAAATTTTCCTTTCGGCAGCTGCTTCTTCCCTTTTGAGTGGAATTTTTTTCCCTACCTGTAAATCAGCTTTAGGGCCTTGTATGCCTAAGGAGAGTAAATACCCCACAGCTCCAAATGAGACAAGTATTGTGCATTTCCATTTCCTGACCCATCAGGAAGAATTTTATGCAGAATGCAGGAGAAATGTCTAAGTGATAAAATAGTATTGGTTGTGGTTCTTTCTCTGGTTAGAACAGCTGGTGTTATGGAAAACATTCAGCACTATCCAGACTTTGTGGACAGCAAATACTTTATAGGTACCACGATATTTCAATGACAATTTTACTGACTGACAAATACTACATCAGCTGAGGATTTTGTTATAATTTCTTAGTTTACTGTTTTAAACCTGAAGCATATATGAAGTATATTTCTTTTCTAGGAAAGTTTACAGTCTAGATGTGAAATGGACTCCCCATACTGCATTTATAGGTACAGACATCAACCTTATTTTCCTGCCACCAAACCACATTTATTCTGAGATGGGGTAAACACTGCTGCTTTTCAGAAAATCTGTTTAAAGCAACTGATTTGCAAGATTATTTTGTAGCTGAGAACAATTAAGAACTCTAACAGCTTAACCAGCTGTGATAATTAGCACTCACTACGCCTGTCTTTGGGGAAATACAGCACGCTGCCTTATTTTAGTTCTTCCATAGTAAGGACTGAGAAAATAATGTAAATAACCACTGTTCTCCTGAGCAGCTCCTTGGGATGGGGAGCCTGGGGCAAAGTCTGGGCTGGGCGTGAGCTGCCACAGCAGTGATTTCTGCCCGCCCAGCTCCCAAGGTGTGTCATTTTGGTAAACACAGGTGATAAATTTAACTCCTCATCAGGCTGTAAGCAAAACCTGTTAGTTAGGGTGGAAGTGCATGCTCCTCCCTTCTTACTAGAAGGGCTATTTTTACTTTAGTAAGTCCTAGAAGCAGACTCCGGGGCTCCTGCCCAGGCTGGTGGGGCAGTGGTGGTCCAGGGCCGGATGCTGGGGAGGCTGCTGGGGCACAGCCCTGGGCTGTGGCAGCGGGTAGCTCGGCTGGTCCTGTGCCCTGCCAGAGCTGCTGGCAGCAAAGCAAAGAACGCCCAGGACATGGCTTTGCAGACGGCTGATCCAGGTGGGTAGAAAGCTTTTGGTCACTGTTTTGTGCTGCAGCACGAAGGGAAAGGGCATTTGCAGGAAAGGGTGAGAAAATGACCCTCATTCTCAGCCGTGGCTGAGTTACTGCAGTGCTTTGTCTCCTGGGAGAGGGAGCACACCAGAGCTCTGTCCAGCACAGTGCACAGGGGTAAAGTTTTTTTCTGTTACATGGCTGTTCTCCTATGGCAGCAAATACCAACTTCATGTCAGGGAATATGTCAATTAAAACAAATAAATGTTCCTCCTCTTACCCAGCTGCCAGGTCTCCAGAGGAGGACCACTGTGTGTCCCTGCATGTGCAGGGCTGGTGCAAGTGGAGGACTTACCCCCCTCTGCTTCCTGCTCTGCTCCTTGCCAGGTTACAGCCACAGCTGCTTGTGCTTGTGCCAGGCAGTGCCCTTGATTATGAGGCAGGGAGCAGGCATGGGCTGCTCCCAGATGGACAAGCTTCCTGGTATGGACACAGTTTCTCTTCTAAACCTGCACCACTGCTTTCTTGGCTGTACCTTTGCAGACCCTTTGCCCTAGGAAAGTTGGGCTGCAGAGGTCTGCCTGTGCTCCTGTGGGATGGCTGGAAGTTTCTAGCATGGGGCTTTGCCCTTGGCTTCCTTGGGATGGAGCATGTGCTTTTAGCAAGTGCACTGCTTTCTGCAGATTTGATTCTGGTACTTGCTGATGTAGCTCTCCTGGTCTCACTGCACTTTGTGAGAGAAATAGCAGAAGCAGGAGACTAAATTTACTTGGACAAGATTTACAATTGGAATTTTTCAGCCACTTACAAGTCCTGGCATATATGAGCAGGTCTGGGGCAAAGGCACTTACTATAATTTCACCATTTCAACAAAGGCAGGAAGAGATGCTCCCCATGCCCTGTTCTGTAGCAGCAGTTATTTCCTTTCAGCTAAGTACCCACAATCAAGCAACAGGCAGGGAGTGCAGGATGCTGAGACTGGGGACATCTTCATGTCTGTCTCTTCCTGCCCATCCTGGTCACAACTGAACATTTCTCAACCCAAGTCCCACATTTGCAAGCACAGGGCACTGTAATGTGGCTTCTTGGGTGCACCTACCTGGATGAAAATACTGGGAGAGCAGTCTTAGCTACCTTGCAAAGACCCTGGTACAGGTGTGCACTGCAAAAGCCAGGGTTTGAGCTAGCCATTGCTTACCGTGTTTTTCAGGGTCTCTCTGCCACTGTCCTTGTTGTTGCCTGTTATTGGGCTTGTTTCCATCAAGAGGAGCCAGAGTCCTTTTCTCACTGTGCTGTGGGTGACAGCATGCAAATGGCATCACTGTGGTAGCCTGATGGGGTGTAATGTATCATCATTAGAGTGCAGTAATGTGGTACCCAGCTTGCATGAGAATGACTGCCAGTCTCTCACCAGGCTGCATTTTAGCAGATATCTCTCCATCAGTGATTTCGGAGAAGCTGTTGTGGAGTTAGCTACTTGTGCTGCTGGCAGTTTGCTTAACTCACTAGTTGGGTCATTTAAAAGCAAGATGCTCACAGGGTGGGATGTTGCTGTGGGCTTGGGGACTTCAACCCCACATCATTTGCCCTTTTAATCAGGAAATTTAGAAGAGATTTTTAGTTTAAACCCTACCAAAATTAAAGGGAAGAAGTCAAATTAAATAAGCCACAAATGTAACAAAGCACGTCACACCAGCTGCTGAGTCTTTTTGACATTAAAAAGCACATTTAGCTTCCACAGAATAGAAAAGTGCAATTTTAAACTTTCAGTCCTTTTCCCTCGGTACCAACAGCTCTTTTCCCTTCTTGAAGCTTAGCTCACTGGTTTTTACAAAATCTCTTACAGGTAAAGAAGCTTTCAGGAATGAGAGAAGGCCTACAAATTTTGATAAAAAGGTGCTAGTATGGTCAGGACGCTTTAAAAAGGAGGAGGACATTCCCAGGCACATATCGTAAGTGGACCTGTCAGAATGATTCTTTTGGCTGTGAACACACAGATTGAGACCCCAGTCTGCACCACCCAGGTGCATATGGTGGCATCCAAAATAACTGTAGATAATTCTAACTCTTGTAACTTTTTGTCATTCCCTGTAAAGTAAACTGGATTTGCTTATTTTAGTTATCATAAATTTCAGACTAAGCTGAAGTGTCTTTTGCAAGACAAGTGGCTTTGAAACTTAGAAGCCACCATGATAAGATATCATTCACTCTGGGTTTTTACATGCTTTTCTAGGTTTTATTGATGAGTGATTAATAATGCTGCATAAATTTTAATAAGAAGTTGGGGCTACATACAGCTTTGGTGACAGATATGTGCAATGAATTCCTCTTGTATGGGCTATGATTTTACTTCCTTGTTGAGGTATTTTGTTAAAGGACTGTCACTCAGTTTTGGACTCCTAATGCTTCTGACTTGTGACATCCTGGGTTCTCCTCCAGCTGTCCTTTCCCTTGCAGGTGTGAGGAAATTCATGGCTGGATATAATTTCATGGATGGCTCATTGCCATGCTACAGTTTCTTGCAAACATGAATTGTTAGTTATATACCAGGAGTTACTCATGGAAGGGGGTGGAGATTTTCCAGTGATGGATGGGGCTATTCAGCTGCTTGGGAAGAATACTCCTGGATGGTGCAGGAGTCTGACCCAGTCGGCCTCCCACTGCAGGCACATGCTCGTGGAGCTGGTACCGACTGTCTGGCAGAGGCTGTGCTGTGGTGAGCTTTTAATTCCCTGAGGATGGCATTTCCTGGCTCTGGTGACATGGCCCCTGTGTCTCCTGGTGCTGCACAGCACCCCATGGGCACCTCTGCAGCACCCAAAGGTTGGCCCTTCATTATAATAATGGAAGGATTTTCCTGTCCCTGTAATTTTACAGGCATTCACTCTCACACACAATAAAAGAATACAGGAGAGCAGGAGCTTTTAATCCTGTTATTACTTATGACTTTTGGGAGTAGCAATACCCCACATTAATCTTTTCCCCACAGGCTAATTTTTTCACTCCTCCTTTAAGCAGCTGCAGAAAGAGAAGGCTGAACCCCATTGTACATTGACAGGAAATTGCTCCAAGACTTGAGCATTCATTACCCATCTCCCCATGATCCCATTTCACACATGCTGCTGCAGAATGGAATCACTGCTCTGTCCTCCACAGGTCTGACGTCCTTAACACTGCAAGGAACATTGTCAGGATAAAGGTTTGCTACATCATGATTGCACTGACTGTGCTGGGCTGTGTGACCATGATCATCACAGGCAAAGAAGTGAGTATTGTTTCTAGGGGAACTGATTCACCTAATGTATGGTCTATGTATGTGCTTTAGAAATAAGACAGATAGGTTTGAGAATATGTACACATGGGCAATGTATGCACAGGATCTGTATCACTCCTTCTCCAGAGGAGACACTGACTTTGGAAAGCACAACTTGCTGATTAATGTGTTGCTTCTGACCCATGCTGCCATAAACCTGTGCAGTGCAATGCTCTGTATGATGGTGTCTCAACAAGAGGCTGGGCCAAAGGTAATGGAATAGCTCCGACAATGCCAATGGAACCTGACTCTGCCTGGTATCTGTCAGCCATGAGGCTCCTGTGGTCCTGCCTGGCCTGGATGCCACTATGGTCACCAAGAGCTGTGACTCTTCTCCCTATCCCACCCACCTCACTGCTGGGTCTCTGATTTGACTTGCAAGTCCCAGTTCACCTGTAAACAATTTACAGTGTAATTCTCCTGTTAATCAGAGCTGCAAATGCTGAAAATGTGGTATTACAAGGAAACATTAACTTCTATCACTGCAAAATATCAAAAAGCACAGTGAAGTGTCAAAGGAAGTGGTGCAAATGTGGGGAAATTTAGTGGTGGCAACTGTACACATGCAATGATTTCCACCAAATCGTTTCCAGGCTGTGAAGAAGGATCAGACGCTGCTGAGGGTGAACGCAGAAAAGAAGGCCAAGTGGAGGGCTGAAGTGAAGAAAAGTCAGGAGACAGCTGTCGGGAAGTCACAATGATTTGGAACAGATTTATTTTAACAGAAGGAGATAAGTGATTTGCACATGTGGCATATGGACCTGTCTTCGTTTAACTCTTAAGAGCTTTTTCATTGAAACTCTCAGAGCAAAGATTCCACTGCATAAAAACTGCTCCATGCAAACTGGGAAGCCCCTATGGAAACTCCAGCTGCTTTCTGTGGCTTCTGGTCTTTGGCACCAGTCCCAGCTCACAAACAAAAATCTCTTTTAAACTGTAAAGTGTGGAAAGGACAAATGCAGGACTCCCCAGCTCAGGATCAGCTTTTCATGGTGCTGCTGGTGCTCAGGTCTCACAGTCAGAAAGGACATGGCCCTATATCAGGGAGCATCACATTCTGTGCAATGCCTCCAGGGCAAACAGCCTTGGCCAAAGTGACCCAGAGCAGGGGGAAAAGCAGTCTGAAATATGTTTTGCAACTACAAAGACATCAATTATCTCTCTGTCTGAGCCTGCTGCCATTATGAACCCCTCTCCCTTCCACCAGCACCTCGTGGGATGCTGTGGCCAGGAGAGAGGTGGTACATGAGCATGAAGAGGGGCTGGGAAGATAGAAGAGTGTGAGCAGCCCCTGACAATTGATTTGGGCCAAAATGGCTTTTGGGCCAGAGGAGATGGTGGTGTGGTTCCTGTGGGGCAGCCCAGGGAATCCATGCCTGATGCAGGGAGCCTGGCCTGGAGACATCTCTTGTCCTGTAGCACCTCAGTGGTTTTTCCCTTTCATCTTCTGCTTCCAGTCATTGTCATGAAAGTTGTCTAGCACTTACTTAGCTGTGATTTTAGTCCAGAATAATTGTTAATATATGGTTTGCTAAAACGGAATTCTTTTTAATCACCATCGTTCATTAACTCATAATAAAACAGCTGTCCAATTACATCTAAAACAAACACATCTCTTCACAGCTTCATTTAGAGTGTCACCAAACTCTCAGGGATGATGCTTAACAGATGGGAGAAATCCTAATGAAATATTGAAAATTACATTTTCACAAAGTGATTTAACTTCAAGACAGGCCCCAGTTCATGCCTGTGGGTGCTGATGCTCTGATCCCCCAAGTGACACCTATAATGCTGGCTGGTGGAGCTGGATGTGCTGCATGGAATCCCAAGGGACACAGCGTGGCAATATCCAACCAGTGTTACCCCAGCTGCTACAGGAGATGCTGTGGCCATGCTCAGCCCTGGTGCAATGTCCTGAGCATCACACTGGCTCTTGGCCTTCCCAGGAATTCTTACTTGGAGCAGTTGCACTTGTGCTCCAGAAGAGTCTGGAAACTCCTGCTCAGGTCTCTGAGGTTTATTGTGTCAAAAACCATGTCCATTTATTGCTGAAGTGTCACTGCACAAATAAGCTGCTGGTAAAGTTGGGCTGGGGCATTGGCAGGTGGTCAGCAGTTGTTGGGCTCTGGGACTCCATCTTCTGTGCTTGAGGTCTTTGGGCAGTTTTTTCCCTCTGGTGCTTCTTAGGAGCACTTCTCTCCATGCTGCACACCTGTTTAGGGTGAGGGGAATGTTACCTCTGTCACATCTCCAGGCTTGCAGTCCTTATTTCCAACTCACAGCCCCACGCCGTATAGTTCACCAAAAGTGATGTCTGGTCCCTGTAGTATTCCTCACAAAGCACATCTCAGGGAAGTGAAATAAATGGTCTAGGACAAGTAGAGAATGAACAAGTCTCTGCTGAGGAGGTATTTTTGCTTCATAGGTAATATGGACTCTTTCATTTTATATGACCTGGTTTTCTTTGTTAGTGCAATAAACTGCAAGAATTGCCTCAAAGTTAGTGCTCATTTGGGGATAAACTAAAAGAGCTTGTTCAGTCTCTTAGATTTTTTTAAAATTCTTAAATTACTTTCATGTGCCTGTTTTCAGAAGGTGCATGTAACAATTAAAGGAACCATTTTGATGCTTGTAAACAAATCCACATTAATGTCCTGAGCTTCCCTGACTTAAGCAGGAAAGGAGATGACCATAGCAATATCTAAAGAACAAGAAAATTAATTGTGACTTGTTCCAATCTCTGCTCTGCACTCCCCCCTGCCTAGGAAAAAAACCTGCTTCAGTTGTGAGCTATTATCTGATCCCTTTAAACAGCTATGTTTCTGCCTACAGTGCATAAAGCTGCCACATGACACATAGTCATTGAGAAAAAATCAATTCTTCCTCACTGAGCCTCTGGTAAAGCATCTGAGTGACCAGATGACCCAGGTGCTTATGGGCTCTTATAAAGAGCTATGACTATTATATAGGGAAAGATCCTTTACCAGCCCCTACATGATTATTCATTTCAATATCATAATACTTTCCAAAAAAATCAATTGGATTGATCTCTGGCTTGCACTTGGTTGGTGGCTGCTGGTGTAGCATAGCCTCAGCTAGAGTCTCTCCTGTATGAACTGGACATGCCTCTCCAACACCAGGACTTATCAGTGCTTGTTAAAATCTGTTTCCATCTGTGTCTGCAAAGTCCTTTGACTCTCCTCTTGAAAAGCCTCTAATTAACACAGACTATTGCATGTATATTGCATGCATCCTCAGCATCTTACAGTTGTGGGTTTATTTATTTCCCCTCCCATCTGAATTGCTTCAGTGTCACACCTGATCCTCCAGGCATTTAAAAAGGGGATGGGAGGTGTTATTGGCTAGGAGCTATTCTTCCCTTTTTAATAAGTGCCTTGTGTTTTGCCAGCCTAGCTCTGAGGGTCTGGCTCCTTTCTGAGGCAGGGGATAGAGCTGAGAATGTGCTGGTTTGCTATGGGGTTCAGAAAGATCAAGGGTGAGTCCTTTCAACTCTTACCTCCTCATTTACTGCTCTGTACTGGGGGGAATGGATTCTTCTTCCCTTACAGGATTTTTTTCTGTTTTAATGAACTCTTGTATGGCAATAGTTAAAAATGTGCTGGTGGTTGGTGCCATAGAGATCTGCATTACAGTAACAATTACTGGGGAAGCTTTTCTGTAGTAGTGGAGTTGATCTAATTCTGCTTCCATTAAAACCAGTGCTGCCGTTCCTCCTGGCTGTGGATTAAGGTTATAATCCATGACTTTTTGAAGTTTCAGTGATTTCCAGACACTTTCCCCAGGGAGTCCTCAGGCTGCTGCAGGGCAGAGCTGGGTACACTGAGCTTTCTTCCTCCAGTATGGTGATATCAAGCTTTTATGGGAGGCTCTGCATCATGAGCATCCCAGTGTACCAGAGGAAAAAAGTCTGAGCTCAGGAGATCTCAGTTCCTTCTTTATTCATTTTACCTCTTGTTTTGACCTTCTCAGGCTCAAAAATAAATCATGTGTCTAGTGACACTTGATTTATTTCTATCTGCTGTGTGCAGGTCTTCTCCAGACTGGTATGTTCCTGCACTTGAGAAGGATTTTTCCCATTTTTTCTCTCAATTCAGGAAGACCTAATTTTAAAGACCACCCTGTTTTTCCAGTATTTAGTCTCCCAGCAAGCTGAGAAACTGCTGCTTGTTTTAAGGCTAAATGCACCCAGCTTCAGCTTCCAGGGAGTGAACATTGTCTTCAACACAGAAACATTCAACCTAACTCTTCCTTGTGTGTTACCAGTCACTCCTCAGCTGTTGTTTGCAGTTGTATGGCTGCTATGTTAAAACACCTGGAGTTTCTAATCATTGTCTGGTAGGTATCATTCTTACTGGCCAGTTAAGTGATTGACACTATAGTGCATTTATTCCTGAATCAAGTGATTTACTACATTAGTAGCCCCTTCATAAACAATCCAAATGGATTGCTTTTGTTGGTTTTAGCATAGAATCAATAATCTAGTACTCTTTGCAGAAAGAAAGGATGTAAGAGCTTCCCAGACTTGCCCTGGAAAATTAAAAAGCACAATGGCTATGCATCAGAAACTGGTTCTCCTCTGTCTGTGCCCAAAGCATCAGCACCTGCATGAGCAGCATGGCCAGATATGCCGGCAAATCTGCTTTTATTTCTGGGACTGACAAAGATCAGTTCAAAACAGCTTCAAGGCTAAAGGTCTCCTCTGGGTGAGATGCAGTGATGGTTTGGATCCCTGTAAACGGACCTGCTCCCTCTTACCACAAAGATCTTTTCCAGCTTGGAGCAGCCTCCTGCTTTCTCCCTTGCTCAGCATCATTGCAGCAAGTTAAGTGGTAGCTGCTGCCACCACTGGCACTGGGATCTTCATGACCACCATTATTTCAGAGCTGGCTTAAACACCACTATCCTGCTTGGATTTGGCATGAAGTCCTTCTAGCCTAGCAGGAAAGCAAGGCCAGTGTTCAATAATTTGAATTAATTGATGAATCATTCATTAATGCATTGAGATAACATTAAAGCAATTTTCCATGGTTAAGTAGCTTGATGATCGTTAGTGTTGTGTGATGAATTGCAAAATCTCTGTGACATTCATATAATAAGTATCTCCTGAAGGGCTCTGAAAGGACCTGAGCATTTAATTTCTCTGCTCTGTAAAGGATCCAGACACAACTTTCAGCACTGCATTACTCGAGCTGGCTCTGCACCTTCTCTGTGCACGCAAGAGCTTTCTACATAGAAAACTAAACCTCACACCTGACTCTTCCTCTGCAGCAGTGTTCCTCAGTGAAGGACCCAAACCATGAGCTCCTTGGGCAGGGACTGCTGTTTGCTGGGTGTGGAGAGGAGCTCACCATAGGGAGGAGGTCAGTCTGGAACAAGGTTTCAGAGGGAAGAGTTGGGATCATTCACAGCTTATGTAGGTTCTGCAGCAAGAGCAGAGTTATCTGAAACTGCACCAGAACACAGAGGGATTTTCATGCTGCTCTGTAATACACATCTCACAGATGACATATGGTCCTGTGACTTTTTCTAAATGAAATGGAAACCAAAATAGCCCAGTGAATTACAATTATTCCTAATGGTTCATTTTTCTCTGTATGCAGAATGTGTGAATGCAAACACAGCTCACACGGAGCTCTATCAATTGCACCCCTTTGCACTGAACTCCTCATCCCCCACAAGCAATTTTATCAGTCTAAACATTGTCCTGCAACAAATTTCTACCAGCAGGGCTATAATCTGTACCAAGGACATCCACTAGGGTTGTAAAGACATCATTAAAGCAATGGTGCTGCAGGGGGAACGGAACAATCTCCATAATGGCCCCAAGTTGTGTTAAGAAGTAGAAGAAAACCGTGAAAGGCAGTTAAATATCCCAATATTTCAGGACTCTAAGCCGCGGGAGAAGGCAATTTTACTTGACAAACAAGCATTAATGCAAAGCGAAAATACAGCTATTGTATGTTTCCCACTCATTTATTTTTTCTTCTCCTCAGAACCCTTGTGCAGGTGGCACGGGGGAGGCTGTGAGCTAGGGACTGCTGGGCACCCACCGCTGTGCTGTGAGCACATAGAGATCCAGTGGGCTGCTGTGGGGACTGCACAGTGAAACCCTGCAAAAATGGGCAAAGAGCTGCAGTACCCCCTGTACCAGCTCCCACAGTGTGGGGGGTTAGGAATTTTCCTTTTGTTTCTTTCTCCCAGGGAATTTTCTCCCATTTGTTGCTAAGACAGTAATGACCGGTACTTGAGACAAAAGATATAGCTAAGGAGACGGGGAGAAGTGCAGCTAGCTTTACTATCACAGCTGAGGGGCATTCTCTTGGGAAGGGCAGAGGTACCGAGATTTGGGCTGGGGGAAGGGGCAGCTCCTCACTCTTTCTTGCTCTCGACATTGGAAGGAAGACAGGCTGCGGTCGCTGTGTGGGACAGAACCACTATGGGGTTCTGTCTCCTGCTGTCGTCTTCTACCGTGAGTGGACTCTGCTCATGGGAGCGGCCACTGAACTGGGACCTTAACACCTGATCTCCCTGGAAGGGACCCTCACCAACTATTTGGGTGTCTCAGGGAAAACCCAGGACCCAGAGCCCCTTCCCCTCCAAGGGAGCCTCTCCCGGCCGTGTTTGAGAGCGGGGCTGCCGCTGCCCAGCCCCGCCGTTCCTCTGCCACTGCTCCGGGTTTGTCCCTACACTGTAACCCCACACCCCTGCCTGTCGGGACACCCCGCGGCTCCTGCCACAGCTGCGGAGGTTCTGATACATTTCTTTTGCTACTCTGGGGTGGGCCTGTCCCTGCCATCCCAGCTGTGCTCCCAGGTTGCTGCTGCAGCCATTTCACCGCCCGGCCCGGCCGCCATCACCGCGTGAGGGAGACGCGGCCGAGCTCGCGCCACAGCGCCCCCTGCAGGCGCGGGGGAATCCTGGCCCCTGCCCGGCCGGGAGCCACCAGCGCCCCTGCTGGCTGTGCCCGGAACTGCAGCGCAGGGGAAGGGGCCGCAGCCGAGAGCGGCTGTCCCTGGGTTTGTGTTCTGTTCCTCGGGGCTGCTGCTCTTTGTTTGCCTTGTTCTACACACACACATACTATCCTGTGTCTTTGCCTGAAAGCCCCGTTATTTTGGAGTTACAATAATTTGGAGGGATGGGGGTCATATTTTTTTCCATTCCAGTGAAGGTTCCTGCCTTCCCTGGCAGGCACCT